AGCTTCTCTTTTCTTTCTCTTCTCTCTCTCTCTCTCTCTCTCTCTCTCTCTCTCTCTCTTCGTGGAGAGCGACTCTTTGTTTAAAACACGGTTGAAAATCCGACCAGCCGGGGCAAATCCTCTTTTTCCTCGGTGGTTCGGAAACGCTTCGAGCGGAAGCACTTTGGGAGAGAACGCGACCGCGGACGTCACGGTAATTACAACCTCGGGTCACCCACCACGAGGAGGAGGTTTTCAACTCCTCTCCTCGACTCCTCTCCTCCTCCTTGCTTCTTTTCGTACGGGCTCCCCTCTTTTATTCCCTCTTTCTCCCCCTTTCTCCTTCTTTCTCTGGTCCAAGTTGGACGTTTTAAACCGATAAGATGCGGGGAAAAAGAGACTTTGGGCGAGGGAAGACTTTTAATTCTCGCGAGCTACGATTCGGTAGATGTAGGACAGTGTTTTTCTACGCTTTTTTTTTCCTTTTCTTTTTTACTTTTAGAGTGGAAATTTTTTTTTTTTTACCTTCGATTAAGAAGATATCTTTTGACAGATGTGAAATGTAATATTGAGTAGTATCATTGTTATTAGATACTGTGAAAATTTATTTTAGCCTTTGTATATGTACTCTGTTGCTGAAATTTCTATTCGATTCTATTCTATTCCGACTGATCTGGAAAACTTTTCCTCCAATTATTTCCCTTGAAAATGTGGATCGATAGAGGGGGTTAGAGGAACCAGATAGGTCGCAGTTTCGAGGATCTTTGGGCTCGTTTCCACCAATGCTTCCAAAGTGATTACTTATTAAAATAATATTTATTCGAATAATATTTATTCGTGTTACAATTACATTTACAACTGTTATCACGCTTTGAACGAGTATAAATTATTAAGGTAACTTCAAATATTAAATTTTATATTGGCAAACTACTGAAAATGTGGCTCGTGAAGCGGCCTATATTCTCCTATATTCTCCGTTTAATCCGAGGATCTGGAAAACAGATCCTCCCCCTGCCCCAGTGGGACATTAAATTACTAAATGTCAGAAAATGTCCCATTGAAAATAAAATCCAACCTGTCCAAAAACCTTGATTTGTCCTTAACAAACTCTCTTTTCTTTTCTTTTTTTTTTACTACGTAAGTAATTACTGCAATGCTGTTAAATCTATATGAAATTTAAAAAAGAAGTGTCGCTTCTACAAAAAAAAAAAAATAATAATAATAATCCTGATAAAATCAAAGGATATATAATTAAAAAAAAAAAAAAAAAAGAAAAAGGATCCAATTAATTCCATTATTCTCGAGAGCAAATCGGGAAGAGACACGGGAGAGAAGAAGGAGAGGAGAACAATCGTTAAATCTCGATTAAGCGTTCTTTCCTCTCCCCCCCCTTCCCTCCCCCTTCGTTAACGAGCATGCAAGAAAACAAGCAGATTGAAACTTTCTCTCTCTCTCTCTCTCTCTCTCCCCCCCCTTATATTCGATAAATTAATCATTATTTCGCAACGAGTCGATTTATATCCCGATATAAACTGTTCGCCAAGGATCAGAAGAAATAATCGGTACGCACACGCGGTTGGAGGGGCTCGGTTGTCTTTGCTCGGTTTGTTTCGAGGCTGGGAAGAAAAGGAGTCGGGTCGAGGTTGAAGTTGAAGTTGAAGTTGATCCCCGCGCAAAAGGGGAAAAAGGGGAGAAGGGAGGGGGGAGGGGCAACCGAGACGAGAGTGTAGTAGAGTTGGGCTCGTAAAAGTTAAATCTAAGCAAAGTTTACGTTCGCCGGGTCGTTAAAAGTTTTAAGGGATAAAGCAGTCGCTTTATTGAAAGACTTGTTACGACGGAATTTCGGTCGGCAGAAACCGTTTTGCGATTCATAGTCCGTGTCTCGGGGCGGACAAAGATGGATAGAAAGAAGGGAGGGAAAGGGGAGCCGAGAGAGATCGGCATCTCGAGCTTTTAAACTCGTTTCGGAGAAGGTTTTCGGGGGGAGGAGGGGGCACGAGGCTGAATAATGGCCACGTTTCAGCCACGAATTCTCGTATTTCTGTGCACAATTAAAAAGGCATCTGAGGCATTGGCGAAGGCGGCCTAGTTTTCGGCATTAAGACATCTGAATAAAAGTCGGTCGGTTTAATATAATCTATAACCCCGCAATTTTGATCGTGATGGAGAGAATGATTCTCTAGAGAGGGAAAAAAATATATTTTCTTTTTCCAAGGATATGGAAAATTTATGCTTTAATATTGGATAATATGGGATAGAAATCGGTTGGACTGTATTCATTAAGTAACATTTTTTTTTATATTCAAGAAGGAAACAACGTGGTTAAGGATCTAATCTATTTTTAAGTGAGCGTATCTTAGAAAAATTTCATTTAATTCTTCGTATTCGAAACCTGAATTGAAACGGATTTGCGTTATTTCAAGTAAAGTTGTATTGGGATTGCAGAGGGCTCTGGTTGGTAGATGGTAGATTGAGGTTAGGAACGTTGATTCGAAAATTCTGTGTATTTTCGCAAAATGTT